CAGTGCTCCAAGCACTCTCCACCTGCGCTGTTGGTGTCTGAGGACTTAAACTTGCTATATAGCTCAGGCTGGCCTCAAACTCATAATTCTCCTGCCTCAGCCTCCCAAGTGCTGAGGTTACAGGTGTTCACCAGCACACCTGGCTGGGACTTGACACCTTACCCCTGAGCCTTGGTCTTCCACCCGGAAGTGGGGATCATAATGGCGGACTCTGCAGGGTCAGAGGAAGAGCTCAGCGGGCGAATGAGCGCCCCCAGCCCTTAGCAGTGACTTTAGAGCTAGCTCAGCTAGCACACGTTATCCCTGGGGGGAACCCGTTGGCTCAGGGGTTAGTGAACTCCAGAGCGCCCAGACTGCCCAGTGGGCTTGTTACCACCCAGCTCTGGCTCCCGCCCCCAGATTCTGTAGCAGATCCAGGGTCACCCAGGTCAGGCGGCGACATTTAAATCAAGGACTCTAGCAGGAAGTTGAGGAACCCCTGCAGCCACCAGGACCCATGAGCTGGCGGGTGGTTTTGGGAAGTTGTGTCACCATGGGGCTGGGGCCTTTCCTCCTATGCCTCTGATCCTCACCTTTCACATGGGGGATGAGGTGGAGATCAAAGTGCTACGGTGCCCACAGGAGGCATAGATGACCCCGCCCCTTCCCCTCCCCCCCCTTCCTCGATGTGCAGAAAAACCGCATGGGAAGAGTGGGTGCCTACTGCACACCCCGCCCGGGTGGACCTTCTGCCTCCCTCCTCTTTGTGGGTCTGGCTAGTGTGGGATCCTCCCTCCGTGTGTCATCCTGGCCCAGCTGGAGCCAGGCACAGCCCTATCCTGACTCCTGCTGCCTGACCCAGGGTGACACAGAACGTCCCTACAAGTTATCCGCAGGCAGGCACAGACCTGCGCTGTTTGGGTCTTCAGAACCGACTCAGGGACTCCTACCTGGGGCTCTTTCCCAAGCCTGCTGCCACCTGCTGGTAAATTGCAGTACTGTAGGTAGCGACCTGCCCCGACTTCCCAGGAAGACCCACCCTCACTCAGCTGGTTCCCCTCAGGTGTCCAGGAAAGGCGAGAGGCTCTGACCAGTGGGCTCACAAGAAGACATGCCGTGCCATCAGGTTCGTTGGGAGATAACTCACAAACTGGGCATTCATTCATTCAGGGTGGAAAACTCAATGGATCGGTACCAGCCCGCCTGACCCTCATCACCACAGTCTTGCAGAGCTCAGTCACCACCCAAAGGAAAGCCCTTCCCGTCTGCATCGTGCCCCACTTCTCCAGCCTTCCTCAGCCCTGCCAACTACAGATCTACTGTAATTATTATTATTATTAATTATTATTTTGGAGTCAGGGGCTCGCTATGCAGTTCAAGCTAGACTTGAACACTATGTAACCCAGGCTGGCCTCAAACTCACAGCAATTCTCCTGCCTCAGCCTCCCAAGTGCTAGCATTACAGATGTGTGCCACCATGCCCAGCTAGTGTGTCTAGTCTTTATAGCAGCTGTGGGAAGGTGTCATGGTCCATATTTTACAGAGGAGAAAGAGACTCAGAGAGGTGGCAGGCCGTACCCATCTCACAGACTGTGACTGGAGCATGGCGGCTGAGCCCTGCCCTCCTCCCCGGCCCCACCTTGCCCTCCACATTGGATGCCTGCCCTCCAGACACCCCAGGGCCGCTGAGAGGGCACAGTGGCCAGGACAGAAAGGTGCTCCCAGAGTGCCACCCAGGGGACAGGTGGGGGTCTCCTGGCCATTAGATGTTGGTTCCAGAGTGCATAGTCCTGACTGGCCCAACAGGGAGCCCCCCAGGTTTTCCTGAGTGGCTGGGTGCTGAGTACTTGCTGCTTTAGAGCTGTGTCCCTTGAGGCTGCGGGCTCCAGGCAAATGAGGACAGGGTACACCTTGCACTTGGATGCGCTGGGAGCTGGGGATTTAGCTCAGCGGCACAGTGCCTGCCTGGCAAGCGCAAGGTCATGAGTTCAATTCCTGGTACCGGAAGAAAAACAAAAAGCACTTGGATGCACTGACGTGTGCCAGATGGAAGGGTGGGCAGAGGGCGAGTGGACCAGCAGGTGGGTGGACAGACAGAAGGAAAAAAGCAAGGAAGCAGGGGAGGTGAAAAGAAGGAAGAAAGTCAGCTGAATGGATGGGCAGGTAGATGGAGAATTACAGTGCCATTCTCCTGAGTGACTAAGAAGATAAATATTACTTACTTAATCAGCGCTAATGAACAAATTCTACACATTTCTGTCTTAAATCCAGCCCACCCAGAGCACGGTTCCAGGGACTTCCCAGCCTACCCTCAGCACTCCCTGCACCCCCACAGGACTTCCCATCCTCTCCCGGGCGGGACAGGCCGGGTCCCCAGGCTCCCAGTACAGCATTGTAGAAAGGGTCCTTGTGATGCGGTCTGTCCTTTGGGTGTCCCACCCCTGGCTGTGGGCAGCATCCACCTTACCCTGCCTCTGGCTGTGCCTCTGGTGATTCACACTGTTCATTCGACACAGCCTCCTGAGCATCGCTGTGGGAGCCCACGGGACCCCTGAGGAAGCGGAGCTCAGGAAACTGAGCAAAGGCTGCACCTGGGCTGCAGGGCCTGCTGGGGTCCGGTGGCAGAAGGACCGGGGTCTCATGATACCGGCTGCACCCTGGGCGCTGTCCCACACAGAACCTTTACCCTGTCCCACGTATGGACAGAGCGGGGGGCACTCAGGCACAGTAGGGACAGAGGGGTTCAAGAGGGGACAGAGGTGCTCCAAGAACACAGCCAGTGCCCCCCAGGAAGCAGCTCATGCCTCTGAGGTGAACTGGTCAGCCAGCGGGGCAGGCAGGGATCTGCTGGCCACCCCCAAAGCTCTTTTTTAGTTTTCCATTTGCACAGCGACTTATGCTTGTTGGTTCATTTTTTCATTCTACTTTTTTTATTTTTGTGATACTGGGGACAAAACTTGAGGCCTTCACACGGAGCTAACCCATCCCTTTTTACTTTGAGACAGGGTCTCTCACTAGGTCACTGAGTTGCTCTGGCTAAGCTCGAACTTGTGATCCTCCTGCCTCAGCCTCCCAAGTGCTGAGAGTACATGTGACCCTCGCATGCGGCTAGGATCAGTCATCCTGTGCTCAGCTTTGTGTTTCCCATTCCTGCTCCTGACACCTTCCTGACCCAGAGTCCTCAATGGGCAAAAACCTTCCCTGGTCTCCTTGGCTTCTCACTCCTGCTGTCCTCTCTCCTCCCAGGGACAATGGGTAGGGGAGGTCGTGGTCCCCAGGCCTCTGGGACACCTCACTCAGGCTGGAGCAGAGGGAATGGTCTCTAGCTGCTGCCCACCCCAGGCCCCCCAGCAGAGCAGGTGGCCAGGACTAGCTGTGAGGGGGCTGGGTTCTCACCTCTGGCCCCTTTTCCTTGGAGGAAACCTGACCCCCGCACCCCATTCTGCTTCCACCTCATCTGTGGTAGCCCCCAACAGGCTGATACCTTCCGACTTCCAGGGAGCTGCACCTTCAGGGAGCCTCTCCACTCTCCCCACCCTCACCCCACGGAAGTGGGGTGTGTCTCCCCTGGGCCTCTGCGCTCATCTGCTGGGGCCGCTCGGGCAGCAAACACGGATCACCTCTCAGGCCTGAGGGCCAGAAGCCCAAGGACAAAGAGTCGGCTGGGCGGGCTTGTTCCGCCCCTCCCTAGCTCTGCTGCTATCTCCGATGGTCCTTGGCTTGTGGGAGCCTCGCCTGACTCTGCCTCATGTCACGTAGTGTCTCCTGTGTGCAAGACTTTGTGATGTATGTATGCGTGTGCGTGTGCATTTGCATCTTTTCCGGTCACACGGGAGTGTGACTACCTTAATCTGTGTGACCTTCTAACTGATCACATCTGCAACAGTCCTGCTTCCAAATAAGGCTGTGTCTTGTGAACTGGGTGCGAGGACACCAGTGTATGAATTGCACCCCGCCACTCTCTCCTAACCCACCTCTGAAACAACGCTGCTCAGCTCTCTCAGGGTCAGAGACTTCCCCCAAGGCAGAAGATGCATTTTCTGCCATTGAATTTGTTTTCCGCATGAGCCTGGAGCCCACAGTGCCTTCCTTCCCAGGGGTTGTGGCCACCAAGCGCTAACCCTGCTGCCCCACATGTGGGACAACCAGCCCCAGGCGGGATCACCCACCAGCCCCGGCTTCTTCACCTGCAAGAAGCCCCTGCAGCCCCGGCTCCGCTTGCTCCTGGATGAACTCAGTCCGCACAGACAGCGCAATGCCTTTGCTCCTGCAGAAGCCGGAGTGCTCACCGCCTCAGGGACCGCTGCTGGGAACCCGGATGCCCAGGGGTAGGGCGCTGTCTATCCTGATGCTTGCTCAGGGCCCCTTGCCAAGTTCTTCACTCTTCCTGCATTCTGGGCTGGCTCTGGGATCTCCGAGCACAGCCAGAGCAGGGAAACAAAGTGCCATGTCCCCCAGGGACCTGGGCCACAGCCAGCAAGTGCTGGGAGAGGCAGGAGCCGCACAGCAGGGAAAGATGTGGGAGGCCCCGGGTCCAAGACAGACCCTGGCTGCTGCTCCCCTTGCTGGTCAGGTGCCTCTCGGAACCTCACTCATGCAAGGGCAGGAGGTCCTGGTCGTGGCTTGCAAAGATGAGGGAAGGAAGGATGGTAGGCCTGACGTGCTGCTTGTTCGCAGAACTGTGCCAGAGAGGCCTGAAATTGTAGTGCTAGGTGAATTGCCTTCCCTTGCTGTCTTTGTCCACACATATACGTCTGACACACCCAGGGACACGCACGTGTGCATGCACGGACACGGTGCACACGGGCACACAAACACTTGCATACACACATGCATCAGCCTCTTTTTCCCATGCACACAAACCACTTACTGGTTTCAACCCCAGGGGCCTCTGCAGCCTGGCCCCCTAGAGCTCAGCCCGGCAAGGGACGGTGAAGCTCTGCACTGCCTTCAGTCGGCATCAAATCCAGCAAATGACAGAATAGAATAAAATATTTTAATGTTCCTGTTACACACCCCCACACTGTCACTGTCCACCCTGTGAGCTGCTGGGACATTTGGGGTGGCACCTCAGGGTGTGTCTTCTGCCAACCCGGGCCTCTCGTCCACATGACCCCTGCCATCTTGCAGTGCTCCGTGGGGTCTCAGCTGCGGCCCCTCAGCTCCCACGTGGCCCCCGATGGGAATCCCAGGCTCCGAGGGTCAGAGTGACGGCTGCATTGTGGGGCTCAGGCCTGGAGAGTCCCCGCTGCCAGCTCAGAGCCCCGTGGTGGCCGGAACATGCAAGGGCTCCTGGCCCCGGCGGCCCCGCGGGCCCTGCTTCTTGTGGTGCCGCCGCCGGGGCTGGACACTCTTGCCCGGGGCCTGCACCGGGCTGCTCTGGAGCAGCCGCACCAGCTCGTGGTCCCTGTGATCCAGCACGCGGGGCAGGAACAGGGAGGACTTCTGTGTGCGGCGGGTCTTGAAGCCCCTGCGGGGCCGGCCCTTGCCATTCACAGACACGTACCAGAGTCTCTCGGCGCCTGGCTGCCGCCGTGCTCCAGGCCCACTGGGCGCCGTGCGGTACAGGCGTGACGCATAGGTGTTGTAGCCCAGCTCGTGGATCCGCTCCACAAACTCGCACTCGGCGCTGTAGTGCTCCTGCGAGAAAAGATCACAGTCAGGGGTACAGGAGGCCACACCAACATGGAGGAGCCAGGGACGCCTCCTTCTCCACCACGGCCGCCGACACACCCGCCCTGCTCACACTCCCTTCCTCCCACCAGTGGCTGTGAAATGGGCTTCCAGGATCCAACTCAGCGTGTTCCCCTTTGCAGAGGTTTCCTGAGCACCTCCACAGGACTCACCTCCCCTGCCTCTCCTCTCTGGGACTCCAGCTCTGGGGGGGCGGGTCCCAGCACAGGAACCCGTGGGATTGTCTGGAGCAGAGATTGGGTCTTCCTACCCTGGGGCCTTTGATGGCTACCAGCTTCAGGGATCAGACGTGTGGACACACACAGGGACACTGAGGACACCGTCATTAGACACTCACGGGGCTGTGCCAGGCCTGGGGTAGGACAGGCCTTGACGAGAGGGTGTCCCCACCCTGTCCAAGTCACAGACTCCAAACTGAATGAGCTGTCCCCAGAGCCCCCAGGCCCAGCCATGGGTCTTCCCTGCAGGTCCTAGTGTGGACATCACCTCCTTGGTCAGCACCCACAGTATACAGATGGGGAACCCGAAGCCCAGGCTGGTGCCCCAAGCCCCGGAGCATGTGACACCTCTCTGAGCTGGCCTGACTGCACGGAAGGGTCCAGGGCTGCCTGGGAGTGAGGCTGGGTCCGGGTACACGGTGCTGTGCGGACACCTGCCTCTCATGTGGGGTCATGACAAACCCAGTGGCTGTCCCAACACCTCTCCCTGGTCCCCCAGTCCTGGGGCAGGTTCGTCTTCTGAGGTCAGGGAAGTCTCTTTTTGCAGGGACACTTGGGGGGTGGTGGAGAGACACAGACTTACTCATCGTCTCGAAGAGCAAGGGGCTCAGGCCCCCCGAGGAGCAATTTTGGGGTGGGAGACACAGGTACTCGCTTGCGCCTCGTGCGGAAGTCAGGTGCGGAAGTCAGGTGCGGTCTAGGAGGACAGTGTTGGCTCCGGGGCCAGAGGTCAGCCTCCGGGCCAGCTGGGTTGGGACTCACCAAGGGGACAGTTCTCCATGCCCATCCTGACGCAATGTCCCACCACACCCTCTGCTCCAAAAGCCCCTCTATTTCTACCCCTTGAAGTGGACTCAGAGACACCCTGCAGATGAGGTGACATTTAGAGAGAGACAGTCACAGGAAAGGGTGGTGGAGAAGAGTATCCAGGCAGGGACAGTAAGAGCAGATGGGTCACAGCCTGTCTGGAGAATTGAGAGGCATACCAGAACTAGAGGGGGACAAAGTTCCAGAAAAACAGGAGAGGGACACAAGCACCTGGGCTGCTGTTTTGTGGGTGATGTCATTGGAGGACATGAGCAGATTTGCTTTTTAAGAAAGATTTCCTCAGTATGTGCCTAGTGGATCGTGTCACAGTGTAAGAGCCAGGGCACTGACTGAGGAATGAAGGAGTGGATGCTGGGTGGATGGCTGGGTGGATAGATGAGTAGACAGTTGGGAAAGAAGAAAGGTAAGAAGGAAGGGAGAGAGGAAGGGAGAAGGGGAAGAATGGGGAAATGGAAAGGAAGGAAAGAAGAAAGGCTGTCGGCAGGATGGGTACATGGGTGGGTTCATGGATGGATATATGGATGGGTGGATGGATGGATGGATGCACAGATGCATGGATGAGTGCATGGATGGGCTGGAAAAGACAGAGGTAGCACGCCAGTCCCTGGGTCCCAAGGCTATTACAGTGGCCCAGGTGGAAAGGGACAAGGGCCTGTGTTATAAGGATACTGGCCTCTGGGATAAGGTAGAGATGACTGGATATGGACCTGAGGGGGGGGCCATGGCTCCCAGCTGCCTTGATGCTGGAATGAGTGGCTCCTAGGCCATGGTTGAGAGAGAGGAGTCAGGGCTGAGTGCCTGTGGTGTGCTGCTTGGGGTCTCTGAGTCATCAGGACTTCGGGAGAGGTGCTACGTAACTCAGAAGGGAGGTCAGGGCTGGCACTGAAGTCATCAGGGTGCTATGGTCGCTGGCCATGGCAGAGGAAAAGCCGGCTAACAGTAAGGACCAGGGCACTCAGCCCAGGGGCAGGGAGGTGGGAACAGCTCTCACAGGCAGCTCAGAGCAGGCAGGTGACGAGGCCCTTGTCCCCCAGGTATCGAGCAGGGCAGTGAGGATTTCTCTGCTGATGCTCTGGAAAGTCCCACACCATGCAGTAGACTGCCCTACCACCTGTGGCCTCACTGTCTCATGGTGGGTCTGAGACTCTTGTACCCTCCTCGCCCAAAGCCTAGGCTATCAGCTCTCAGGGACAGAAGCCAGAGATGACCTCTGACCCTCGAGGATGCCCAGGTGAGGCAGGGATGGCAGAAGACCTGGACTTGTCTCCTGAGCGGCCTCCCTACTCTGCCTTGTGACATTCTGCAGTAGGACAAGATGCCTCCCCTGTGGATAAGAAGACCTGAGACATCACTGAAGGCCACCAAACCCTTCCTGGGTTGTCTCTCATTCCACGAGGGAAGAGCACCTGCGGGGGTGGGGGAGTGTCAATTTCAGGATGCAATCAGCTCTCCTCAATTCCACCAGAGACTTAGGGCCTGAGGGGTCCAGAGAGCCCCAGCCCACCTCAAAAGAAATAGAGACCTAACCCAGGGCAAAGTATTCTTATAGATGCAAATGGAACAGGGGCACCAAGGGACCTGCAGAGAGGCCCACGCCATGATCTCCTGGGTCCATATACAAATTCTAGTGCTTGGCCTTGGACCTGAGGAAACAGATGGCTGCCTCTCCACCTTTGTATTTCCTGTAGCAAAACAGCTGAAAATCTATGCTAAAGTAACCAGCTTTAAGAAGGGCCTGAGAGACGTCAAAGGGGGCAGGCAGGGAGATGTGAGGATGTTTCCCTGAAAGCCAGGTGGAAGCAAGAGGCGGGTAACCAGCTGCAGGGTGCTAGACCGCACCTGTGGCTGTGTCATCCAGGTTAGGTGAAGCTGGAAACTCGATGTCCAGGGAGGCAGCAGCCACAGGGCTCACACTCACTGGCAGAGGTAGCAAATCTCCTACTTCTACAGTGGCTTCTCAGGAACTGCTGATGCCCTCAAGATGACAAGATTCTTTCTGACCATGTGAGGTGCAGGCAGTCCACAGTCCATACCTGGAGCCCTTCTCTACCCCTACCCTGTTTCCTCCTGGGGAGGAAGCGTTCCCAACCTGGGGAGAAGAGGCTGAGCCCACCCAGCTGCCTCATTTCTCACACCCAGGCCAGCTCTGTTGAACCCAACAGAAGAGCTGCTGCCTCTCCCTTCGTCCCCGAGTTCTCTTGGGTCCATTTATTTCAGGGACAGTTCCTTGAGGGGCCATCTTGCCCCTGTTCTCAGTCAGCTTCTAGAAGGGCAATGGAGCTGATAAGGTTTGGGGGAGGGTTTGGAATGTGTCCAGCCCCTAGTATGACCCTCCCCAAGGGCTGCACTCCAAGTGTCTCCCATGGAAGCACCCAGAGCTTTGGGTGTGATTCAGAGACCTAGAGTTCTAGGCCATGTCCCTCCTCTCCCTGCTGGAATGTCACAGCAAAACAACTACTCTTTTGGTACCCACATACTGCAGAGATGGGACTCACCGAAGCATAGAGCCGTCCCCTCCTGTTCATGGCCAAGTACCGCCCAGAGAAGAGCCCCTTGATGGCCACAACGCCCACTTCCACAGCCGTAATCTCCAGGATACCTGGGGAGAGTCAGGAAGGCTCGTCACTTCCTCTGCTCCCAGAACCACAGAGGTGAGCATTGAGCATGGCAGGTCCCACCCATGTCACACCCAGGCTCTGGACAGCACGGGCACCCCACACCCAATGGGTTGGGGCTTGGGAGTTCAGAGAGGAAGAAGGCATTGGACAGGACTTGGAGAGGGGCCTGTACTTGGAGAGACAGTAATTCAGACCTGGGAGGGAGACACTGAAATGAACTTGTACCTGGCCATCTCTGCCAGGCCTCATGGGCAAGTCATGTGGCTCATTGGAGCCTCACATACCCTCAACAGCTGGTTTCATGGGACAGACCAGCAAGCAGAGACTGCCACGCCCGGGTGACTTGCCCAAGACCGCACATGGCGGGTCAGATCATGCCTGCCGTGACCATGGAGCCCTGTGTCCTGCGGCCTGAGCCAGACAGGGAGAGAAGGCCAGGGCTCTCAGTATAAGCCAGTGGGTGCTACCCAAACTGGACTGCCAGTGTTTTGGGGTGGGAGATGATTGTCTAGGGGGTGGGACCAAGTCTGGAGCTCCCAGTGGAAAGCTGTCCAGGGCTAACCCTCTCCTTGATGTATGAAAGAACCTAAAATCCTCCTGATGCCGTTCCTTTCTGCACAAGAGAGCCTCTGGGGGATGGGTGTTGGGGCTTGCAACTTCCCAGGTAAGGCATCTTCTCCAACAGGGCGGGGCGGGGGGAGGGGGTTGCCGCTAACATCCTCTACAGGGGGTGCCTAGCACCCAGCACAGCTGTAATCATCCAAATTAGCAAGGCTTTGCACCAAGGCTCTGGGGTGCAGGCTGGAGGACCTTAGAATCCGTGGGGTGACAGTCTGGTCAGGCTCCCCAGCGCTGGCCTCGGGGACCAGCTAAGTGGGAGCCTGGACGCAGCAGCGCTAGTTGCACACTTTCCACCTCTGGGCAGCCTGCACCCGGAAATCTATACGTTCTGCAACCCCAAAGAAGCCTGGATTTGGAGTGAACCACAGAATGTCTCTCGGTGAGGAACCCTGCCCACCAGGACCCCCTGGCGACAGCTGGTTCCCACCGTGGGCTCCAGAGGCGTCCCCTTAAAGACGCCCTCGCAGCGCTGCGGCTTGCCCCGAGGAAGCTGCGGTTTCCACAGCCGCCTTGAACTGACCACACAGCTTCCTGCGCCCGGGGGCCTGAGCGAGCCCGCTGCGTTTCAGCGGAGGACCTCCGCGGTCCTGGCCACACTCCCACGCTCCCCACTGTAGTCGGTCCGGGCCTGGTTCGGCTTGTGCGCTCGCCACCCGATAGGCCTGTTCGCTCTGCCCAGGGCTCAGCGCCGTCCCCGGTGCCCACGGTCAGAGGAGCCAAACTCCGGAGCCCGTGGCCTCCGGGGGTGAGGCAGTCAGGGCGGCGGTCCTAGAGGCCGGTGTGCATGCGCTTGTGTGCGCCCGAGTGTATCTTGGCGTCCGCAGACCCAGCAGGCGCCCTTTGGCGCCCTGGACTCGCCTCCCGCGGCTCCCACCGGGTAGCTGGACGCCCGCCTTTGCTCTGAGGGTGCAGATTCCAGCCAGGGAAATAATCTTTCGGTGGCATTGGCGTCCAGGAACCTAGGGTCCTCAGTGCAGAGGCAGCGAGGCGGTCCAGCCACCTGGGCGGCCGACAGTCGGTAAAGCAGACGGGACCGCGGCGCGCCCCAGGTCGGCTGGAGGTGGAGAAGTGGTCAAAATAATAAAGAAAATGATGACTGCCTCATCTAGCTCCTTTTCTCCGACAGATTCAAAGGGCTTAAACTTGTTAGAACCGCCAAAACGAAGCCGAGCGGGGAGCCGGCGGTCAGCTACAGCGCGCCCCCTCGGAGGATCCGGCTAGGCGGGGACCGCTCCTGGAAGGGATCCCCTCCCCCAGTCTCCTCTGATCCCGGCGCGAGGTTCTCCCGGACACAGCTGCGGACCCGCGGTGCGGAGGGTCGCCCTCTGGCCGCAGGAGGCGGGCACCCTTGGCGCGCTGTGCCCCCTCCCGCGCCGCACCCTGCGCCCCGCCGCGCGCCGGGCACTCACTGTAGGCGCTGTTCTCCAGGCTGCCGTTGACGCGGCCGCTCGGGTGCAGCTGGAGGTGGTACTTGGTGGCGCAGTAGAGCTTGCGGCGCCGGGGCGCCCCGCCGAGGTGCTCGTAGACGCCGCC